GTCTCTCATCCTGTGGGCTGTCTGTTCACTTTCTTGGTAGTATCCTTTAATGCACCCAAGTTTTTCATTTTGATGAGATCCAATTGATTTTTTTCTTTGGTTGCTGATCTTTTTCAATTCTATTAATACACAGTTGTTTCCATGGAGAATGCACTGTAATGACTAATCAGCCAAGTGTCTTCCTCAATTTTGTTACAACAGTGATATAGTAAGCTGCTTATTCAGTTAGCGTGTCTGGTCTCATTTCTCCCTTAGAAAAGAATAAGCGGTTGTAATTCCCTTCATAGAAAGGAAACAGATCGAGGCTTTCGGATTATGGACTGTAACTCTTTATCTCAGAGAGTACAACTGGGAATATAATCCCGAATGTCTGGGTGCTTAACTGGAACCTCTGCTGCCCAACAGCCCCCACTTCCAGGCCTCCATGGGGCTCCAGCTCCACCTCCTCTTCTGGTCCCGGAATGCGGCCACCCCTCGAGGCTGTCTCCACAGCTCACTCTACAGGCGGCCCAGGCCTTCTCAGAGCTCGCACTTTAGCTACATCAGTCGTCATCTCGCTCCACCTCTGGGCCTCTCCGCCCAGACATCACACCTTTGAAGCTTCGTATGTCTACGGCAGAGAAGCACCTTCTCTTCCGGCCACTCACCCCAGACTGTACGTCTACATTCTCCCACTCACCCTGCTTCAGACCTCAGAGTCTCCTTTGACTCTTCCTTCTCCCACTCCCCCACGTCGAAGCGGCCCACCCTGCCAGCCTCTGACCCAGCACGGTCCTCCCTCCACTAATCCAGCCCTACGGCACTGCCACACTGCTCCTCCCTGCATGCCCGTTTCACCCCCTTACTGCTCTGCTCCAATCCCATTAAATGCTCCCTGTTCCCTAACAGCTAAACCCTGACACTCAAAGCCCTCCATAATCTGACCCAATCTGTCCTTCCTACCTCATCTCCTACTTCTCTCACCAACCCTCCGCTCCAACTGTACCATGCTAACCGACTGTTTCCGACACGTCCTGTGTTATCCCCACCTCTACACGGTTGCACATCCCGTCCCTCCTCCCTGGGCCGCCCCGTCTCTTTCACCTACCAGTCACCCTTCCTTCAGGTTAATCCCACTCCCTTCACTAACCGGCCCCCGCTTCGTTCATTTCTGAAGCACCTGTCTCTACCATTTCCTTGACCCTCTATCATTGATCCCAGTTGCTCACATGAGATATCCCCATGTCCCCCCTCCAAACGTATAAATACTGGGCACCCTCAGTGGGCCAGACGCTCTGCTAGGCATCAGTTACAATGAAGTGGGAGGGGAGACAAAAGTTCTGGGAGTGCCTCACAGGACTCAGGGGCAGGCCTAAGGGGTTAGTAATGATTAAAGAATTATATTCAACAAATGTGCCCTTTAGACTGTGCTACATTCTATAAAGGAAAATACTGAGGGCTAGGAAAGCACATAACAGGGAGAAAAGGCCCTCAGTAAGTTGTTCAGGGAAGGCTCTGGAGAAGGAGAGAGAAGTTCTTCTTTGGGTATCCTGCCTTCTCTCTCTACATGTCCCAAGTTCCTGGACACAGGCCCTGCCTCATTTGCCCTTTTTTTAGTTTTAGCACATTGCGTAACAGGTGAAGGAGCCCATGAGTGACTCTGGTAGAGGAAGGGGAGGATTCTGGAGCAGAAAAGCACCTCATCTAGAAACTGAGCCAGAATGGGAACACGCTGGGAGACAGCCCTGGGTTCAAATCCCAGCCCTGCCACTCATAAGCTCTGAGCACATTACTTGGACCTCTCTGTTCCTCATCTAGGAACCAGGACTAACCATCTCCCTCACAAGTGGCCATGAAGGCTACGTGTGAGTATACACAGAAAGCCCTACGCAGACCTAGTGCATGGAAGCACCCAATAAACGGCTGCTGCCATGGTTACCGTTATTTATGTTACTATTACAGGACTGAAAGGCAGGAAGAGAGCTTTGCCAATTGTGTGTCAGGTCACCAAATATGGGCCAACTCCCTACTAAGACTTCTGAGTCTGCATCTTCTATGGTCTACAGCAGAGATGAGCCCAGAAGGGTTTCCCCTGAAAGCACGAAGGCTCTTGCCAGTCTGTGGAACTATCCCCATTTGCTCTGCTTGAGGTCTTGAGGTCTGGTTTCCTGCTCTGACTGACCTTAGGCTGTAAGGCCCCAGGAATCTGAGGCAAAAGAGAGGCTAAGGCCAAAGGTCATCATGGCCACTTCCTAGTTTGGCTGGCACTTCTCTATAAAGGGAAACACAAAAGAAAGCTTCGTCTTTCCAAGTCTGGCATCCCTCCTCTCCTTCCGGCCGTCTCCATCTATCCTCTTCAGACGGGGGGCAAGAGGGCAGTACAGGGTGCAGCAGGGAGAAGAGTAGCCCGCCAAACATGTCCAAGTCCTAATTCTCGGAACCTATGAATGTCAAGTTAACAGCAAAGAGAAATTAAGGCAGCAGATGGGATTAAAGCTGCCGTTCACCTGACTGTAAAACAAGGGGATTTTCCTGGGTTATCTAGGTGAGCCCTGCGATTACATGTGAACATGGAAGAGGGGGCAGAAGTCTATGTGACAATGAGAAGATAGGAGAAAGACTCAACAGGCCACCGGTGGCTTCAAAGATGGAAAAAGGGCCACGAGCCAAGAAACGTGAGCACCCCCTAGAAGCTGCAAAAGGCACTGAGATGGATTTTCCCCTAGAGCTTCCAGAAAGGAATTCAGTCCTGCTGAAACCTTAATTTCAGCACAACGAGACCCATTTTGGACTTTTGCCCTCCAGAACTGTAAGACAATAAATCTGTTGTTTTAAGCCACTAAGTTTGTGGTCATTTGTTACAGAAGCAATAGGAACCCATATACAGAGCTAATGCAAATAAATATAAATCTACTGTTGTCTCCCTGGGGCTTCAGGACTTCAGACGTAGTGCCCAGAATCAGCGTGGGGGCAGCCATGCTACCACCTCTTACACAATAAGCTTTACTAAAAGGATGCTTAAAATACTTTTTAAAAACCACTGGTGCAGTAGAAAGCCTGGGGTCAGACAGAGCTTGATCCTGTTCACCAGCCAAGTGATCCTTCCATATTCTCCTTAACCCCCTGGGGCTCAGGTCCTCATCCATCAAAATCAGGATGCCTACCTCACAGGGTTGTCATGAAAATTAAATGGGGCAAAGGGAATGACAGAGCTCGGCCCAGAGGAAGCAGTCAGTAAACAGCTACTCTTCCAGCCTCCGTCCTTCTACAAAGGCCTCCCTATGGGGCGCCTGGGTGGCTCAGTTGGTTGAGCATCAGACTTCAGCTGAGGTCATGATCTCACAACTCTTGAGTTCGAGCCCCACAGTGGGCTCTGACAGCCTGGAGCCTGGGGCCTGGGGCCTGGAGCCTGCTTCGGATTCTGTGTCTCCCTGTCTCTCTGCCCCTCCCCGGCTCATTCTCTGTCTCACTCTGTTTCTTGAAAATAATATTTAAAAAAAACTTTTTTTTTTAAATAATTAGGCACAATCACAGAATATCCTATGTCATTCCTCTCCCCTTAAAGGGATCAAGAGGAGCACAATCCCACCTCCCTCAACCCACCCAAGCGGGCAGAGTCAGGTTGGGGTTCCATTCACTCATTCAGCAAATCTTTATCACATGGACAGGTCTGAGGCAGTGAGCAGAACGGACTGGTCTCCACCTTCATGGAGCTTACATGCTAGCAGAAGAGATGTTCATCAAATGCCAAGCAAATACACTGCCCCATCAGGGAGAGCTACGAGGAAGAGATGCGTGGACTGCAAGTGACAGGTTGGAGGGTGGAAGTGATCTAGCCAGGAGGTCAGAGGCTTTGTAGAAAACAAGTGAGCTGAAGAACGATTAAGCATTGACATTAAACATTAATCGGAAGAACGATTAAACATTAACTTGATGACAGAGGGAAGAGAATTCCAAACAGAGATAGAACAACAGAAAGGCCTGATGGTGGAAGGGAGGGAGGCCCAAATAAAAGAAGGCCAGCATGGCTGAGGAGCAGAGAAAATGGGGAAGCTAGGAAAGCAGGGGCAGGCGGTGGGGATGACTCTCCGATTCAACTGGATGGGTGATACATTCTATTCGCCAAAACAGGAAGCACTGGAAGAGGGCCACACCAGGAATGGGGAGGTCACGAGGTCAATTTTGGACATGTGGGGTTTAGGGTACCTTTGGGGCATCCAAGCAGAGCCATGACCTGGGCATCTGGGTATACAGGATATGTAAGTCTGGAGTTTATAGGTAACCTCTGCACTAGAGGTGTAAACATGGCAGTCACATGTGAACAAGAAGTAACTGAAGCAGGGACGGGGCCTGGGTGAGACCGCCCACTAGAGAGAGAGAGAGAGAGAGAGAGAGAGAGAGAAAAGGGGCCTCTGACAAACACTTAACACCCAAGAGCTGGAAGGTGACTATAAAGGCGGTTGGAAGGAGCACTCCGAGAAGTAAGGAGTTACGTCATCTAAGGGTGCAGAGAGTACCCAGGAGGAAGAAGAGGTCAACATCAACTAACAGAAGACTCCTTAAGATGCCACCTGACTGATGGGACCCTGCCTGCCCAGCTGGGTGACCATACTGGCAAGGCCTGATGTCCAGGAGGTGAGGCCTATTAGATATTCTCCTTGAGGGCCCTGGGAAGTGACCCAGATATTAGAGGCTCAACTACTAACGGCTTCCTAGGAAAAAACAAACAGAAGAGCAGAGACCCATTACCTCCAACGTCCTGGCGTCAGGAACTGGCTCAAACCAGAGTACAGAAAAGAGCGGATACTGGCCTGGACACCTCCTCTGTCCCAAGGCTGGTTAAATATGTATAGCTTTAGAACTAGGGCAATACCTGAGACCTGACACTGGGGTGCAGGGCAGAGGGGCTCCTCCTCTCCTGCAGGTAGGTCCCCAGGTGGCCAGGCGCCTGGACTGGGGCCTCCAGCTATAGCAGAGCACCGTTTTCCAGCCCTTCTGCCCCCAGCACTGAACCCACTCACCTGGTAAGATTCCTGGACCTTGTACTCCGTCTGCCTCCTTTTCTTGCTCGTCCGCCCGCTCTGAGTTCTCAACCACCTGATCCAACTCCTCACTCAGCTAAAGGGAGGAGACAAAGAGAGCAAACCAGTCAGCCACATCAGCCTTGCTGAGGAGGACTAGAATGAGAAAGCAGAAGCTTCCTCTCACTTAACTGTCTCTCTCACACACACACAATCACATGATGGAGGGGGTGTTATACCAATTCTACAGATTAGGACACTGAAGCTCGGAAAACTCACGTTAACTTCCCGCATGTTCGTTTCCTAGGGCTGCCGTATCAAAGCACCACAAACTGGGTGGCTTAAGAATTAACAGAAGTTTATCCCCGCACAGTTCTGGAAGCTAGAAATCTGAAATCAAGGTGTTGGCAAGGTCGGTTCCTTCTGAGGCTGTGAGGAAGAATCTTTTCCACGGTCTTCCCCTAGCTTCTGGTAATGGCCAAGCCTTGGTGTTCCTTGGCCTATCGAGGCCTCTCATCTCCAAGCTCTGCCTCCATCTTCATATAGAGTCTGGGAAGTGCATCTCTGTGCTGTCTCCACAAGGTCAGCTACTTATAAGGACACCATGTTGGATTAGGGCCCACCCTACTCCAGTATGACCTCATCTTCACTAATTACATCTGCAATGACCCTATTTCCAAATAAGGACACTCTCTGAGGTACTAGGGGTTAGCACTCCCCACACATCTTTTTGGAGGGACACAATTCAACCACAACACTTTCCTTGGCCATAGAGCCAGAAGTCAAATCCAAGTTGGTCTAGTTCCAAAACCGATGATCTTAACGGCTTCCCAGAGGAGGAGGAAACGCAGCTAAGAGTATGCTGACAGAAGGAAACAGTGAAGTTGGTGTCAGAGCTCTCCAGGACACTGGCTCAAGTCCACCGACTCAGGCTGCGAATGGCAGGAAAAAAAATGGGGAAGGTGGTCCATCCCAGAAACAGATATTGATCAGCAGCCTGACAACAGGCAGCTTCAACCTCACCTCATCAGTGCTCTCACCTGTCAAATGGGGGAAATGAGCCACCGAGAAGGGCAGGCAGAGGATACAACAACAAACAATTCTTCATAGGACTGAGGAGGAGGGGAAGAGAGATGAAGACCAGAGTTTAAAGGACCTAACACTGAATTGGGAGGGAAGGGAAAGGGATTGCTTTCCTAAATATTTTCTTAGGCTCACAGTGTCAACACTTAAGGTCTCAAACGTTTTAATTAAAAATTAATATCCAAGAAACTTGGGTTAAAATAAAACTCTTATGTATCTATTGTTCTTCCATCTCCTCCCCTCTTTTAAAAATTTTTTTCTGATGGGGGGTGAGGGGCAGAGATAGAGAGGGAGAGAGAGAATCACAAACAGACTCCACACTGTCAGTGCACAGCCCAACACGGGGCTCAAACCCGTGAACCGTGAGATCATGACCCAAGCCCAAAGTTGGACACCTAACCAACCGAACCACCCAGGTGCCCCTAATTTTATTAAGTGATCTCTATCCCCAAGGAGGAGCATGAACTCACAAGCCTGATATTGAAAATCACATGATCTACCAACTAAGCCAGCCATGGACCTTCATCTCCTTTTTCATGCCTCCACTCCTGCCCATTAGAATCAGGTAAAATCTCCAGTGTAAAGTCCTCCAAGCCCACAAGAAAAGAAAACCAACAAGTAGGAGAGGGCTGGGAGGCTGGAGAAGAAACCATGAGATACAGGTAGTGGGGACACATATCAAGAGATCACCAGAGCCCTCGCTGGCCAAAGAGAAAGAAGGATGTTAGTCTGAGAAGGCCCAAAGTTCTTTGATCCAAGCCTCACCCAGGTTCAGCCTAACCCAGATAGCAACACGCTCCCAACCCAGCTCCCTTCCGGACTACCTGCAGCCCCATCCCCAAAGCCAAAATCTCCCTTCAGCAAAGAAACCCAACTCAGAGCTAGTTAGACTCCTAACTCAAAGGTCCACTCCCAGAACGACCCAGGCAAGAGAGCTGGGCCACCCTCCGGGAGGCCTCCTTCCAAAGAAGGCAAGAGACAGGGACTTCAAAACGAGCCACTGAAGAAGGTAAAGGGAAGGGCCCTTCCAGTGTCTTCCATCTTGGGGGTGCCCTCAAATAGAAAGTGACTTTACCTTTGGCCTTGCCAAGTAACTGTCTGCATTTTAATAAACGTTTCAGGAGCCCTACTAGGAAAGGCGATACTGCAGGTTGCATACGGATGGTGAGGGACATGGTCCTACAAATCAGGACCCCAAAGCTCCCTAGAAGCAGGAGCCACCCACGTCCTGTGAACAAGAACTATCATCCACTGAGAGGTCCCTCCCTGCCAAGCACTGACCTAAGCACCTTCCATATACCAACTCATTGAACCCTCACAACCCTGTGAAATAGAACTATCATCACCTTCCTTTGCAGAGGAAGAAACCTGAGGCTCAGAAAGTGACTTGACAAATGGCCAGAAGCAGAGCAGGAGAGGAACATGGGCTCCCCAACTTCAAAACAGTATTTACACACTATGCTCTACTCCCTGTGAATCTGAAAACTTTCAGAGGAAAGACACAGCTCATTCCTCCGGATTCCTTTACAGGCTAGGGCATGGAATCTAGGAGCCACAGAATCCCAACACAGGTTAAAATCCATCTGGCTCCTTTGGATAAAGAAGATTGTGGGGAGAAAGATAGAAATTTGTCCCAAAGTCAGATTCCAGACCAGGTCCTACACTAAAAAAATAGCAAGCCTTAGGCAAATCTCATCTGCCTCCAACTCAGATGGAGGTTCCCCTTCCACCGTAGGGCTAAGCCATCTGCTTTTATATTATTTATATAATCCACACAGTATCATTTACAAAGAGAGGAATGTACATCAATATTGGTCAGTATTGATCAAAACAGCAGGAAGTACATATGAGAAGGACAGGCAGAATGCTAGACTGATCTGGGAAGTCAGTCTCCGTGGAACATGAGGGACTTAAGATCCCTCCTTGAATAAGGGAGGGGATTTTGACCAATGGGGACTGAGAAGTTAAAGAAAAAGAAATGGTGTGAGAATGCGCACAGGGACAGGAAAGTGGGGGCACATTTTTAAAGAGTGAATTTCCAGTGTGATCAGAACACAGATAGGTGAGATGAGAAGTCAGGGATGCTGAGCTGTGCAGCGCTTCCGAAGCTTGCTAAGAAATTTGGACTGTTCAGGGTAGATCAAGGGCAGCACCAGGTGTTTGTAAAAGGGAATGTTCTGGGATCAAGGCAGGGCCTCAAAGCAAATCTGCACAGCCTAGGGGACACCAAAGGGAGAGATGGTAACACAGCATCTCACTCAGGTGGTCAGAGCAGACACAGAACACAAACCTGAGGACTGAAGATGTGTAACTGAACTTACAAATGAGGGGACGACCGCGCGGGGTGGGGGAAGGGGGGATGATCACCAGAGATGACCAGAGTGTAAGACCTAAGAGGAGGAGGAGGAGGAGAGCAGTTTACTAGTTCCAGTAAGTCAGGAGGACTCAGAAAGCCTGAGGAAAAGCTGAAACCGCCTGCAGCTCGGACAAACAAGAAAGAGACAAAGAGCTGGAAAAGTGATAGTTAAAGTAGTGGGAGGAGGTGAGAGCGAAAGGAAAACGGAGCGCGGCGAGCAACAGCTAGATAGGCGAAAGCACCTTTTCAAAGTCAGGCGGCCGCCGAACAAGCTGTAATTATCCCTGTCATGTACCACGAAGCCCTGGGCTTGCAGAGGGGCTAATGCTCCCAGCGCATCTGTTCCAGCCGGGAGGAGGGCGCCGTGCCTCCACTAGCAAAGAACAGCCGAGGTCAAGTGCGGCCGGCGCGCTGCTGCCTGGGTCGGACGCCGTTTCAATCATTCACCTGCTGGTTACGGCTCACGGCTCGGGGGCCCCGGCTCCATCCCGCGCCGGCAGCATCCGGAGGAGGCTCTGCGCCCCGCTTCCTTCCTGCTCCGAGGCTCCTCCGCACGCGGGGACCCCTCCCCCGCCGCACTCCTCGGAAAGCTCACTCGACCTGCCCGGACGCCCCCCCTCCGCCGCCCAGACCGCGGGACCCCGCTCCTGCGCCCCGCGGGAAACTTTACTTCCGCCCCCACTGCTTTGTACCTCCTGGTAGGATGTGGAGAGCTCCTGCCGGATCATGGCACTGACCCGAGCTAAGCCACACCTGACACCGCCACAGCGCGGGAGAAGCCGCGGGGCGAGCACCGCGTCCACGGCGCCTGAAGCAGCCGGCTCTGCCAGGCGAAACCGGTTCGGAGGTGCGGCCCCGAGACCAGGCGGGGCGGAACTTGGCGCATGCGCCTCCCCCACCCCACCCCGCTCGCCTCTGGAGACCCCGAAAGGTTGCTGGGAAATGTAGTTCTGGGCGGGGGGGGGGGGGGAGGCCCCCTCTCAGCAACCTTGGAGCTGAGAAGCCTGCGCGTTAGTTACCCAGACCAGGCGTTAGACGCACGTGCTCGCTTCCTGTCTCACTTCCTCTGTTTGTGGGAGGAGGAGGGACAGAGAAAAGGAGTAGAAAATGGAATGAGGGGTAATTAAGTCCAACGAGTGAGGGAGCCTAATCTATAACTCCAAGAGGCAGTCTGGTGGTTTATAACCATTAATAAATGTCTGCAGAGCACTTTGTATGTTACAAAGCGCTTTCACTCATATAATGCCATGATCCTGCAAGGAACCCTGTAAGCAGGACATTTTTCTTCCTGTTTTAGGGATGAAGAAACAGGTACCTTGTTTCGGACAGGATTTGGGGACGGGAGTAATGAAGTGAAGATTATTTGATCCAGGATCAGACTACAGAATCCAAGTGCTTTCCATTATTCCTAGGGTAGACACTTGGGAGTCGAGACCTCTCGGTTCTTGTCCTGGCTCTGCCCCTCTCCGACAGGTCTTGTAATACAAACCTCTTCTCTTTGCCTTAGAATGCAACGCCTAAACCCTGCCCTGCTAACAGTGCCTTGATGAGATCCTAAATAGATCATGTAGCAAAACCCAAAGGTGCTGTTCACCACAGCAGAAGCCTCCTTGTCCTGAGTGTGGTGGAGAATACGGCGTTTGCCCTGTAGCAGGGTGGATCTGAGGACCACATCTTCCCCTCCTCCTACTGCCTGAACTGCTATTCTGTGTGGCCGCCCTGGGCTGATTGGTGGCGAGGCAAATAGAGGTTGCTTATGCCGCCGTGAATGCTGCTCTGTGTCCCGGGCAGCTGCAGATCTGCAACCGCCTGCACGCAGGCCACTCAACGCCTCTTCCCTCTTCAGTGTCAACCACAGTAGCACCAACCACATCAAAGTACCCTGGACCTCCAGAGTGTTAGTAGTGGAAGGAGGCCCTCTCACCTCTTCTGACCACCCTCCCCTATCCTGGGTTCCCTGGTCTTGCATCTTCAAATGGGACGATATATGTAGTACCTTACACATGGTAGGTACTCAACAATGTTCAATTTATGAATGGAACACTTGTTCCAGCTGTTTCATTTAACAGTTGCTTGCAAATGCAAATAACTACAAACAACTTGTTAAATTCCTAACTGTATTAATGCAAGGGTGGCTGATAGAACAAGTCATACCATCATAGAATTTTAGAGCTGGAAGGAACCAGAAAAATCTAGTCCAGCTCTATCATTCCTCTCTACTCTGTTGCTATGACCAAACCGGGAAATTACAGATTCCCACATTTGAAGGAGATGCTAATATAATATTTAACACGGTTTAACAAATACAGTGCTGGGCACTGGAATACAGAAATAAATGGGGTACTCCAAGATCCTTGCCCTTCTGGCTCCTTCTGCTAGAATGGAGAAGCCATGAACACATAGATAGAATTTTCCAGACTAGTAGTCCCCAAGTCCTCTCCTCCCATTCTCTCATGAGCACACACGGATCAGACTTTCATCGTCTCCACTCCACTGAAATATGCTTGTCAAGGTCACAATTGACCTCAGAGGTGTCAAATAAGATGACCATTTCTTCATCCTCCTCTTTTTTCCTCTTTTTTTTTTTTTCTGGTGAGGTTTTGTTTGTTTGTTTTTGTATAGTTATAACAGTGTTACATTTTTTAGCTGTTCACCATAGTGATTCAAGAAGTTTATAGGTCATGCCATGCTCACCACAAATGTAGCTACCTTCTGTCACCATACAAGGCTATTACAGTGTCATTGACTATATTCCCTTTGCTGTACCTTATTCCTGTGACTTATTCATTCTGGAACTGTATCTCCCATTCACCTCTCCCCATTTTGTCCATCTCCTCTAGCAACCATCAGTTTGTTCTCTGTATATACAGGTCTGGTTCTGCCATTTGTTTGTTTATTCATTTGTTTTGTCAGCTTCATCCTCAGCCTTAGCTGACCCTCTCCTCCCTATCTACTTTCCTCCCCTGGCTTCCAGCACCCCACCTGTTCCCACTCTGCCTCCCACTTCACTTGCTGCTCCTTCTCAGCCTCCTTTGCTTATTTCTCCTCATCCCCTCAACTCTCCAGGATGGCATTCCCAAGCTAGGTCTCTGATCTCCCTTCAACTCACTCCCCAGGGGGCTAGAGAAGTGGGCTCCTCTCCATCTATATCCTAAGGATTTAGGATACCATCTATATCCTAAGGATTTCTGTTTGAGTTGAACTGTGTCCTTCAAAAAGATATGTCGAAGTCCTAACCCCTGGTACCTCAGAATGGGACCTCATCTGGAAATAGGTTGTTGCAGATGTATTAGTTAAGATGAGGTCATACGAAGTAAGGTGATGCCTCATCTATTATGACTTGTGTCCTTGCAAAAAAATGGAAGACGGTGTGAAGATAGACACACAGGGAGGATGCCCTGTTGTGGCAGAAACAGAGATCACAGTGACGTAGCTGCCAGCCAAGGTGGCTTTAATCATTTGCCTGTAAGCAGCAGGTGAAAAAAATTTCACATAAGGCAGAGACTGCCTCTTGGCTGGGTTTCCAGTGGATTTAGTCAAGAGGAGGTACCTCTGGGAGATTGGAGAGGGTCAGGGCAAGGGAGAAGCCAGAGTTTTTCTTTCCCTTGTTCGCTGCTCCTGGCAGCTTCCCTTCCATGGTTCCAGCCCCTGATGCAAAGGCTTCTTGTGTTTCTAGCTTCAGCCAGGTGACCCAGGCCCCCAGACTCTAATACCACCACCTCTTCCCTTCTAAGGGTAGGTTGTTGTTAATCTCCTGCTGTTTCTAATCTTCAGATCACCTCAGGGTTTCTTCCCAGCCTCTTCCATCCCCTGTGTAACCAGCTTTCTTATTACAGTCATTCTGTTTCATTTAGAATAATTTGCATTCTCCTTGAAGGTGACTGATTCATTTGGGAAAGAAGAATCTGGGTTCAAGTAGGGAAAGGCAATCAGAGTAATATCTGGAAAAATCCAAGGGCATATGAGCATCCTATGAAATCATACAATTATACACAGCGGTCTCAGGGAGAGGAAGCTGGATTGGATCAGTAGAAGTTACATGGAGTATCTTTTGGCTCAAAGAAGTCACTAACAAATAGAACTGTAGAGAGGGAAAGGGCCCAAGCAGAGAAGCAGCACCCTCTATGCCAGAGATGTTATTAAGGAACATGGTGCACCAGGAAGGGGATGATACTCTATTCAAGGGCTTAAAAGGGCCTCTTCTAACCTGGAGATCCTGTGACAGTGTAACAGATACTGAGCGCCGCAACTTACACAGACTTTCACATCCATTCTCATTTTTAGTTTCAACACTATTCTATCAAGGAAGCAGGCTGGTATATTACATGCGTAAATTGAGATTCAGAGGGTTTGTGATGGATCCTGCTCAGGTCGCTCTATACTAGAAGCTCCTGTTGAATAAGTAAATGTATGAAAACTTGGTGCCGTCCCTGAGGGAAGGTGCAGCCTGATGGTCAGGGGAAGACCCTGGGAGGGGGCCTGGGTTTGAATCTTGGCTCAGCCACCCATCTGTGACCTTGGGCAAGGTATTTAAGGTCTCTGCACTTCAGTTTCATCGTCTGTAAAATGGGTGACAATTCTTACTTCGTAGAGTGAGGATTAAATGAGTAAACACTAGTAAAAGTGCTGAGTCAGCGCTTGGCACGCTAAGCCCTTCTTTGGTTTCCTTTGCCAGTTCTCCCACCCACAAAATGTTGGTGGGGCCCCAAAACTCAGTCCTTGGTCCTCTCCACCTTCCTATCCACCTGCATGTCCTTGATGATCCAACCCATTCTGTGGCTTTATTTTTTTTTTTAAGCTCATTTATTTGAGAGAAAGAGAGAGAGAGAGAGACGGGGGCGCCGGGCGGGGGGGGTGGGGAAGGAGAGCGCAAGCAGGGAAGGGCAGCAAGAGAGACAGGAAGAGAGAGAGAGAATCCCAGGCAGGCTCTACCATGTCAGTGCAGAGCCCGACATTGGCCTCCGTCTCATGAACCGTGAGATCATGACCTGAGCCAAAATCAAGAGTCTGACTTATAACTGACCGAACCACCCAGGCGCCCCTTCTGTGGCTTTAAATACAACCTATATATATGCCAGTGATTCCATGATTTATATCTTTAGCCTGGAGCACTTTCTTAAAATCCAGACTTATGGCCGACTGTCAATTTGCTACTTCTACTTAGATGTCTGTGTGTCCTCAGACTGAACAAGCCTGATCTTGAGTTTCTCTCCCTGCACCCGCTCTTCTCACCATCTCTCCTTATCCCTGAAAGTGGCAGCTGCATCCTTCCGGCTACCAAGGCCAGAACCCGCGGGGTCATCCTTGACTCTGTTCTGTCTCTCAGACCCCTTGTCTCCTCTCATATGTCAGCAAATCCTGTCAGCCTCACCTTCAAACCACATCTGCGACCCACTCACTTCTCACCACCTCCCCCCCCCCCCAGCACTCTGGCGCAAGCCACTGTCACCTCTGGCCCGGTCACCGGATTACTGCGGCAGCTTCCTGTTCTCAACACAACAGCAGTCATTCCACTAACATCCTAACTCGTCCCTGTGCTCCATTCACTCAGCGTGGAAGCCAACATCCTTTAAAAATAAGCTGGGGGTGCTTGGGTGGCTCAGTCGGTTAAGCATTCCGACTTCGCCTCAGGTCATGACCTTGCAGTTTGTGGGTTTGAGCCCCGCGTCAGGCTCTGTGCTGACAGCTCAGAGACTGGAGCCTGCTTCTGATTCTGTGTCTCCCTCTCTCTCTGTGCCCCTCCTCCACTCGAGCTCTGTCTCTCTGTCTCTCTCAAAGTAAACAAATAAGCTGTAAGGCCCCACAAAACCTGCCCCCCACCTCGATCCCCTTTACTCTTTGACCTCCCAGACCTTATCTCCTTCACCT